TTGTCCACATCTTTGTTGACGATTTGATGACATCAGCCGTATTGGGTACGTTAGTCTTTAAGTGAAATTTGGTAGAGAGTGCCGTTCGAAAGCCTTCTGATAGCACAAAATCCGAAGTCATCATGACCGAGGGTGTTAGCGTGAGTGCCTTGTTTAAAAAGATTGATTACACCAGATTATGCGCTTCCTCCCAGAAACTAAACTTGCTTGACGTATAAACCAGAGATGAACTCTAATAAGCGGTGATTTGACCACTTTTCCTGGAAGCTCCTTCATGGGTCATATAATGCTGAAAATTAATCTTTCTTGGGAGCTTTCAAGGAATAAAAATTGTATATTATTCTGTTTTTACAATTGAATACATAGTAGAGGACCCAACTTAAGTTCATGTAGATGTTTGTGTGGACATGATTACTAGAGGCGGTGATAGGTGTGTTTTATGTTGTAATTTTGTAATATTTTGGAATCCACTTTTGTTTCTTTCGGAAATTCTCGGATATTATATGGATTAATGTCATGAAAGAGTTCTTTCATGTTAGTTGGTTGGCAGTATTTTAAATAGATTTGTCTGAAATCCACAGACGGTTCAGTTCGAGGAAAGAAGAAAAGCAAAAAGTTACATGTGTTTTTTAGTATGTCTTTTATTACGTATAGTTTCGACAAATTTCAACCCGAAATATATCCACAGACAGTTCAGTTCGAGGAAAGAAAAAAAGCAAGAAAGTTGCGGAAAAAAATATTCCCTTCCGCGATATAGCTTGATCGTCTGATAACTTACATTGAGTTACAAAAACAAGAGAGAGCCAGTTCCCTTATAAGAACATCGGGGATCACGTGGTAACAAAGTCACGAGACCCTCTAACTATAAAAAAAAATATTAAAAAATATCACAGTTTGTTCTTTCTTTTTATGTGCCATGCCTTTCAGAACGTAGGTGATCATGGCTCTCCATTTCTGGGATGAGGAGTTATCATTGTTCACAGACTAGTGTCCTCATCTTTGTTGCCATTACCATCTGATCGCCTTCTGTCTGAATTTCTGGAATGAGGAGTTATTATTGTAGCTCTCAATATGTTTCATGCCTCTGCCAACTCCCCCAGACCATGTTCTGCCATCCACTTGCTTAAGCCCTGCTAGGTATGTCATGCGTTGCTTTCCCTTGTCTCTATTACCCTATATTTGATCTGTGAGTATCAGATTCTTCAGGCCCTCTTTCCTCATTATGTGTCCCAGAAACTTCAGCTGCCTTTTCCTGATGTTAACTATAAGACTCCTCCTTGTTTGTATCCTCTCTAAGACCTCATCGTTGATCACACGCTCGGTCCATGGTATCCTCAACATCCTTCTGTAGAACCACACCTCCGTCGCCTCGAGTCTTTTCTTCATCTTTGAGGAGATCGTCCAACATTCTCTGGCTTAAAAGAGGACAGATGTCACGTAAGAGCTTAGTACTTCTTTCTTTGTCACCAAAAAAATCCTCCTGTCTTGCAATACTCTGTTTAGCTTTTGGAATGCATCCTTGACCATTCCAATCCGTCTTCGGATCTCAGCATCGCACCTACCCTTCCCCGTCAAAACGCTTCCCAGATAACAAAAACCAACAACCTAGGTAAGTACATTGCTCTTTTCCTGGCCTGAACAGTCAGCTTTTCTACAATAGTTCTTCGCATGCTGTACATATTGGATATAGCTCTTGCTTTTGAATATCAGGATGTGTTATCATAGAATGTGCGATATGAAGTGTGGACATTATTAATTCATGTTTGGATGTTTTATTCTTTGAATCCATTCTATAGAAGTGTTTGATCTATATGCCGGGCCATAGTTTTTTTTTTTCCATTCTTCTCTGATAAATTCGTTATTGCTTGATCTGAGGTCTCGATAGGAGATCTTGGCGCTTGAACATTGATGTCTTTTTTTTTGGCTCTATCTTTGCCGTTGATGCCAATAGGGATGCGGCTATGGAAACGATCGTTAACTGATCATTGATTACCATCATTTTGTTTTATTCGGCCGTCGTGCTCTTGGGCTTTCTTCAAGTATATGTCGATCCGGGTAACCTACGAAGAATTTAGAACTGAATATTATTATTTAATATACGGGGTTAGACGGTTGTCCTTCCACTGCCGATGTCAAGAGATGCCTCGTCTATTTCTTCTGTTTAGTCCTACTAAGTTATTGCTTAACCGTTTCAATAGAGTCCTAGTACACCCTGCCCGACACAGGGATTGAACACACAATCACTATGTTACTGTTATTAATTAAGAATGGTTACTGAATAGAATAAAAAGGTTGATAAAGAGTGATAATACTTAGGACAAGAACAACGCATATAAGATTCGCCAGCGGCGCGTAAAAGTAGTCAACTACTAGAAGTGATTCAAGTGAATTCCATAATGAATCTCCAACTGCAGGATATCTACCAACCTCCTCACGCGGTCAGATGTGGCACAAGGCCGAATTTAATGCGGGGTATCCGAGCCCATGCGCTCAGCCAAAAATTCCCCGTAGACCCCATATAAAATGAGGTCGGGTCGCTGTTTTCCCGAGACGAGACTCTGCCCTTCGTCATAGCCTTGTCTGGGGATCCTCCCTGCCCGGAGGCAGAGAGTTAGACCAGAACAGCTGGAGACGAGTCTCCAACTGCAGACCAACATACAGTATCTACTACTCTATTTATGTGAATGGGGACATACCCATTATCGTTCGTAGGTATGCTACCACAGTTACCAAATTCACGAAGCAACACTGAGTAACTAATATGCAAGACTAGTAACTAATTTTTCAAGACTATATCATAAACGACTGCTGCACAAAGTGTACTTCAGTGGGGTTCGAACGCATTACAAAAGAGGGAATGTTTAGAGATCTACCCTATACTATACAGTGGGGGGAAATATATATTCGTACACATGACAAATTGTATTCTTATAAATGTAAAAGCCTTAACTAAAACAAATGTTGATACATTTTATGTGTAAAGATACATTTTATTAAAAAATTGTAATAAACTTAATTAATTCTTATTCTAACAGAAATTAATGCATTTTTTCATTTTAACTGATGAAAAAAGTATTCGTGACAAACAAAACAAAAAAAGCACATCAACTTAATTTAATACATTGTGGAATATCCTTTATTGAATTCAACAGCTACCAGTGTATTCCTGTACGTTTCAAATAATAATTTGCACACATTGAGTGGTATTTTGTCCCATTCTTCTTGGCATATTGTCTTCAAATTTTGATATTTGTTGGCGCTCTTTTCCCAATTTGAATTTTCAAATATCGCCATAAATTCTCGATTGGATTCAAGTATGGGGACTGACTTGGCCATTGCAAGACATCAACGTTACTTTCAGCTAACCATTTCCTTGTAGATCTAGCGGTATGCTTAGGATCATTATCCAGTTGGAAAACGCAATCAGGAGGTAGCCGAAGTCTCTCAACAGAACGCATTAAATTGTCCTGCAGGATTTTCTAGTATATTTCGGCATCTATTATTGATATATTTTTTTATTTTTTATTGATAGGATTTTTCTAGTATATTTTGCCATCTATTATTGATATTCTGCCAACACTTTTTGCAGAAAAACAGCCCCAGGTCATGATACTGCCACCACCAAACTTTACAGTTGGCAACGTGTTTTTGGTAAGTAGGCTTCACCGTCCTTCCTCCACACATGATTTCGATAATTATGACCAAACAACTCTATTTTAGTTTCATCTGTCCATAGTGCATTTTCCCAAAATGAATATTCTTTATCCTTATGCTCTCTAACGAATTTTAGCCTAGCATCTCTGTGTCGTTTCAAGAGGAGTGGAGTCTTCCTTGGGATGCGTGATTTCAGACTGTTTTTGTGTAGTTCATTACTTATTCTACGCTTGGTTACTTTAATCCCAAATGCACGCAGATGTTCCTGCAGCTCTTCTCGGGTAACCTGTGGATTTTGTTGGATCTGGCGTCCTAATATCCTTGCTGATCTTATAGACATCTTCCTCGGAGCACTTGTTCGTCTTTGTTTTTCGACGCTGTTACGAGTTTTAAACCTTGCAATGAACGAAGCAATTGTAGTAAAAGGAATATTCAGGTTGTTAGAAATCGTTCTGTAACTGTTCCCATCTTTCCAAAGAGACAAAATGTGTTGTTTTTGTGAAATAGTCAATTCTTTACCTTTAGGCATTATTAGAACCTTCTCGTAAGACTATACACTGATAATGTCTAATAGCGTTAACTATAATTACTGATAATATTACTGGTACATTCTAGAATATATATTTTTCATAATTAATTGATTATTTTATTCTAATAATTGATTTGTACGTATACTTTTTCACCAGCTAGAATTTAAAAAATGCATTAATTTCTTTCAGAATAAGAATTAATTAAGTTTATTATTATTTTTAATAGTATGTGTCTTTATACATAAAATGTGCCGAGATTTATTTTATTTAACGCTATTACATTTATAAAAATAAAATTTTTCAAGTGAACGAATATTTATTCCCCCCCCCATCTGTATATGCTTTTTAATCTGTTTTGCACACACAAAGCAATTAAAGCCACAAAGATGCAAAGCCTTACTAATAATGACAAAGGACAATAAAAGAACAGGTTTTATGGAGACAGACGATGAACATTTAAATTATATATATATTTTTTTGAAGATGGTAGATTACAGGACATTATTAAACCGGAAGAGATTTCCAGAATTTAAAAATCGACATCTTGGCAATTTCATCTATATAGGCAGTTTATGAGGGGTCTTCCTATTTTTTTTCTTTCGTCGTCGCCCACAGTGCCATTTTGTCCTTTTTCCTCAAAATGGAGATTATTTTCATAGCAGCCAGTGCGTTTGTAAACTAACATATTTTGTCATATCCGTATCAATTTTTATTTAACGTTCACAAGATTTTTTCCAGAATTTCGCAGCCCAAATTCAGGATTATACACAAGTGATTATTATACACGAATAATTAGGGCTTCTTATTATCCACTAAATGTCTTTGGTTAGGCCCAAAGAGTTGTGAGTTCTATACCAGGCCACAGCAGTGAAAGTGGTGAAGCAATTTTGGAGAGTTGATTTAAAGAGGCATGGCACGTGAAACTAGAACAATATATCCCGATGAACGAAATAAAGTGTTCGGTTCCAAATTCCAAACACCTGCAAAACGTCGGGGCGTACAACGGCCAAAACGTTGTGAATACGGCAATGAAGATGAGGATAACAGTCAGAATAATGTAAAAATGTAAGTTATCTATCTATCTATCTATCTATCTATCTTTTTCAGGAGTTTCAGGTTTCTATCTATATCTAATAGTATGTATCTGTCTATATATCTAACTTGCGGTGTTAATATCTATCTATATCTCTATTTCAGAAAATTGTCGTCTGTTTATCTATCTATCTATCTATCTATCTATCTATCTATCTATCTATCTATCACAGTCTGTTAATTATCTTTCTATCTATCTATTTAATTATGTATCTGTTTCAGGCGGTTCCGATCTAGCTATTTAATTTGCAGGGTTCATATTTATCTATCACTATATACCAGGAGATTTATATCTATCTATCTATCTATCTATCTATCTATCTATCTATCTATCTATCTGCATGATCGGTCAATTTTTTTTTTCTAAATTTTTTGTATGTACTATCTATCTATCTATAGAACAATTCGCTGACATGTTATCTGAGATCATAAGATTTCAAGAATCTCATGATAGATATTCATCTATCTATCTATCTATTGATTTTATCTATCTCGTTATATATCTATCTATCTATCTATTATCTATCTATCTATCTATCTATCTATCTAATAGAAGCTGTTCATTATCTATCTATCTATCTATCTATCTATCTATCAGAATAAATACTTGCATCAGTATCGGTATCAATTTCTTTTGAAGCCACGACTTTCTAATATGAAAACAATTCTTTATAATGACATTATTAAGAAATGTAGAAAAAGGGTACTATTTACTAAGGGCCACAAATAACCTGAAGATGTGGAGAGCCGTGTCCTACCAATCATTTAGACAAGCTCATTAGAACAATGGTCATGACACTATAGTAAAGACACAGAGAAGATATGTTATGGCGATGGGAAAGTGGATGAAGCCGAGATGCCAGATCAGGACCGATAAGATTACAAACATATTTTTTGGGTTTTTTATTTTATATCAAGAATCTTGCGATAGATATCAAAAGCATAAAAGCGGATGTGGAAAAAATATTCAATGCACAGACTAATCGGAGAGTTATAAAGGTACAAGATGGATTCTATCGATAAATATTGTCTGGTACCACAAAGAGAAAAAACATTTTGTATTGCTTGCCGACGTAGAAATTGATTCTGAAGGCATGAATCTATCTCGTTATATATATATATATATATATATATATATATATATATATATATATATATATGAATCTGCACAATTATATATATATATATAAATCTACCACTGTTTCTACTTAAGGCCCAGCCTATCTATCGTCGTTTTTTCTTATCGGCTCTATTTCTCTGAACTGGAACTCTCGATAAATTGAAGGCATGCTCTAAGTATAATGCTTAAATTTTTTGTAACTATTTTTATATTTCTCATTAATCTATATATATATATATATTTTATATTGCAATATATATAGATCTTATATATAGTATTATTTAGTTTTTAAAAAAATATGATTCAACTCGTGACTCGATATAAGACGTCTCATGTTTAATGTCGAACAAAACAAGTTTATGCCGTATATTAAACTTCAATATAATTATTTGAATTGTCATTTGAGATTTTCCATCTTTTTCTCGTTCTTCAATCAATTCACGTTTTCTTTTGTTTTCTTTTTTGTGCGTGTCTCATCAGGACGTTTACGGGCATGGTTCTCCGCGACATCCCTGCTTTTCAGGAACATATTCGTTACCAATTTTTTCTTCTTCTTTAAGATTTTGTTGTCCTTTTCTATATTATGGCCCTTCACAACCATCAAGGCGAATATGGCTCCCCAATAATTCCTCTTTTTTCATTTGTAACCTTTCCCATAATTTCTGTTTTTGCTAAGTAAAATTCTTTCTCTTGGTTTTCCATTTCCTTTTACTTTTTGTTTTTCTATAGGACGTCAGGCGATAATGGCATCCTCTATAACTTCTTTTCATTTGTGGAAATCTTTGCCAAATCTCTTGGTTCCATTTCCTTTTTCTTTTTCTTCAGGACGTGGGCGATAATGGCATCCTCCAGCTTCTTTTCTTTTGTGGAAATATTTAATACATTCTTCACATATTTGTGTTTGTATTTATTTAAATTTAGCGTTTCTTCTCTGATTTTTTGTATCATTTTAACTAAGAGTAAAATCTTTCTTCCTATCGTTAAATGTACCCCTATAAGTTGTACATTATTTCTTTCTATAGTAACCTCAGCGTGGCATAGACGCTGATGTCAGAATGAACGGACGTGTTTTTCATTGCCTAAAGAAAGCGATATCATATTTTCACAATGGGGATGTTATTAACTATCCATTTTTATTCTTATATTTTCTTTGATTATTATATTTATATTTTGTTATATCATTATGTGTTATATAACTGATGTGGGCCCAAAGTTGGGACCACGAAAGAAAAACACGGAACACGGATTAGAGGTAAGAAAGATATATTAAACAAAAAGGTTACAAAGATAGTGTAAGTGTAAGCGGAGCTTACTATGTGCTAGTGTCCAATATTGGTAGTCGTACGCGGCTGATACTACGGTATTAGAATACTCTCTTTCTCTCTTTCCTCCTCTTCACTTAGAGTATTATATCGCATACTTTATATAGTCCTGGAAGAGTCCATATTGTAGCTGTGTTACGGTCTCACAACATACCTATGAATAGAAATTTGTATATCCCAATCCTTATAAATACGTTGGACACTATTGTAAGTGGAGGAGTAATATGCTGTCTAAGTAGTTCACCACGAGCAGTGGTTTACCTACTTCACGTCGCTGGCGAGTATTGTATGCTGTTATAAAAACTACAATTTCATTTCCAACCTCCGTTTTGGTTTTCCTCATTCAGGAACCTTTTTCTAGGTTACAACATTTTGGCGACCACCATGAGATACTGACTCTGTGCAGAGTAAATCTAAAATGTGGGTGCTATATACCGTACCAACCTTACAGCAACCGCCGTCTGTCGAACTCTCTGCATTTGGCAGGGAGGAACCCGGACGAAGCTTTGCCGAAGGGCAACGTTTCGTTCGGGGAGGTTATGACAGCTCTCGAACCCGCCTAGGCGGGTCAAAGGCTATATTTTTGGCCGGGCCTACGGGCTCGGGTAACCACGTAAAACTCGGCCTTGTGCCACATGTGACCACTCGTGGGGGGACAGCTAAATATAGCTATATACCGTACCTATGAACACTAATGGATATGTCTAAATCCTCATAAATACGTTGGACACTATTGTAAGTGTGGGTGATATGTCGTCTTATAAGTCCACCCCTAGCAGTGGTTTACCTACTCCGCGCCGCTGGCGAGTATTGTATTTTGTTGATGTTATAAAGATTACCATTTCATTTCCAACCTCTGTTTCGGTTTATTCTTCATTCATTAACCCTGCCTAGCTTACAACATTACGCATTTGCAATATTCAATTATTCAAATACATATAGTCGATTTATTTATCGATTGTTTTATTTGTTTTAAAGGGTGTTCCAGTAACTTGGAGCGATTTTCAATGTGAATTAAGTTTAAGCATCTAATGTTTTTTTCTTCTTTTTCTTTCAGATTTAGGGGGCATTTGGGCGATATTACTTTTCACGCATAATTACCATGACTTAAATAACATGATCCAATTGAGAAATAAATAAATTTTCACCAATAACACTGATCTATTTACTGCTGTCTTTGATCCGTCTTAATGAAACACCTTTACATATAATCCGTCTTAATGAAACACCCTTTACTTTTAAAATAAATGTTTTAGAAAGTTAATTTACTTCTGTTATTACTAGCAATTGTTATATTAAGGACAGTGAATGTATTACATTTGATAAATTACATCTACACTGACATGAATAATTCTGTATTCATGTTTAAGCGTAAAATATCCCTTTTTATGAAAGTAGACGTATTTTCGAAATTGTAGGAAATGTATTTCGATACATAAGGTTTGCATTGTTGACTATTGGTTCAGTATCGTTGATTACTTTACCTATCATTTTTTATTTAACATTTTAACATTTGCTAATAATTTAATTCTGCTACCCTTTACTTATTTATCGATTGTAGAAATGTAACAATTTTATAGCCGAAGACGTATTTTGAAATTTGCAGGAAAACTGTTTCGAGTCGAACCTTAATTTTTACTGTTCACTTGTGAATTTCTTTATTATTTTTCTCTCAAATATTATTTTAGCAAAAACAATAATAATAAAAATCTTCTCATATATTTAATGATAGTTTTATTTTTTATTAATTCTAATCTGTTCTTATTTAAAGGTTCGTTTCTACTATTGTCATTAGAATAATAACAAGAAGAGAAAAGTTGTCTAGAGTTCCAACTCCTGTAGTGCCACCCATGGGGGTAAGCTTGAAGAGGAAGGAATAGACTGAATGCGACCAAACGCCGAAAACCTCAACGGCGGAATAGGCAAAGATCTACACGATCCCACCGATAAACCGTTGACATAAAGCGATCAAACGTTGACATACCAAACACCAGACAGTCCCGATGCAACCAGATTTACCAGATCTCGGCTGTCTCACCCGCCTTTGAGCCGCGGGGAAGAACGCTTCTGGACAAGTGGCTTGGGTTTATTCGTCGCGCAGAATTGTCCACCAAAATCAAACTCACATGAGTGGCCTCATTAAACGGTCGATTTGTTTGGTCTGATTTGGCACTTGAACGAAAACGTATTTTAAAATTTACAGGAAAACTGTTTCGAGACGTAACGTTATTTATTTTTTTCTTCAGTAGTGAATTTCTTTATTATTGTTGTGGCAAAACCCTCTTATAGTATAATGAACTCTTCCTTCTTTCATAAATACAAACTGCAAGAGTCGGGTGGAAGAGGGTGAAGTGGAGTGGAAGTAATAGACACAGTGCTAATCTACTTATTACTAACACTATTGTTTTGTATAAATCTTCAATATACTTTTCCAACCGACCTTCGTCTTCCCTGTTTTTCTTTCTGGCCCCTAAACAGGCCACAATAATTATTCATCACTTATCTCACAAATATTCGCAACAACAATAATAAAACAAAAGTTCTTATATATTTAATGATAATTTTATACTTTTATTAGTTCTATTCTGTTCTTATTTTTAGATTCGTTTTTATTATTGTCATTAAAGTAATATTAAGTCAAAATGGTACATTTAATAACGAACTGTTCACTCCAACATCCAGTGTAAAATATATATGGACGTTCCTTGTCATAGTAGAGGCCTTTCTTGTCCCTGTGATCCCAAGAGCGAAGTTGTCTCGAGTTCCACTTCCTTTATATTCGCCCATGTCGATAAGCTCGTTTCCCGAGCGCACCGGTCATCTAAAAGACAATTACTTACATAAAATAAATATTAATATATAATACCAAAAATGGTTGTAGTAAAGTGACATTTTTGTGAACGATGACGTATTTTCAAATTTATAGGAAAACTTTATTTTTACTATTCACTGGTAATATTTTCTTTCTTATTTATCTCTCAAGTATTTATTTTAGCAACAACGATAATAAAAAAATGTTCCCGTACATTTAATGACAATTTTATAATTTTAGTTCGATTCGGATCCAGTTCTATTATCATCATAAAAGTAATATTAAGTCAAAATGGTACATTTAATAACGAACTGTTCACTCCAACATCCCTTGTAAAACATATATGGTCGTTCCTTGTCATAGTAGAGGGTTTTCTTGTCCCAG